ATCTCTAATCACTGCCCAAAACATGTCCTAGCAGTATCTTTTTCCTCCTTTATCCCAATGGCACTGCCTTCTTCTCATCTCCAACTCCAACCTATGAGTGAGACAGGCTTTAGTCACCCTCACTCTGACATTAAACAAGGGGGATCTCTAGGTGCATGTAATCTGTCAGGCTATGTCACCCATTGTCTTGTAAGGGAGGCCAGTAACTGACAGTGACTGGGAACAAAGGGGAACAGAGATCACAAAGGGGACAGCAAACTTCAAGCAAATATAGTTTTCGGCTTGACTTCATCAATACGCCTTTGGCTTTTCTTGGTTTTACAACTCCATAGAAATAAATCCTTCTCAAAGGATTTTTTTTTAAAAAAAAAAATCCCAGTAAATATATAGTTCTCCAAGTGCCAATGAAGCTTAATTTACGTTTTCTTAATTACAGTTTTCAAGATTAGCCAATAGAATATCAGCTAGGTACTAAAAACCCAAGCTAGAGACTCCTAGCCTCTTGGTCTGTTTAAAATTGTTTCGACCAGTCAGATTTTATAAAGCAGATTTTGAATGTTTTATTCAATGTTACTAAATTTTATTCCGGCAATAATCTATGTAGTATTCTAGTTTACAGAAATATTGTTTGGTTATAATTATATTGTTCAGATACATACAGCTTCCTTGGAAACTTTACAAGAAAGCTCGTATTTCCTAGGTGATCTTTTATACAAATACACGGTATTTAAACTGTTTTCTTTGTCTAGCTATGCTCGCCAATTTAATTTATGGTTCTTCAAAAAAAGTGGAATCAGTTGCTAGATTTTTAAAGAAAAAATCCACTATCATTTTTATTTTTGCGTTCATTAGGAAAGCATACTTCATGAATTCATGAAGATGTTCTTGCCTCTAATTTTTAAAGCTTTTAAAAATCACCTATCATATCACCTAGATGCAGAGATCTCAGTCAGCATTTGTAACGTATCAGTGCCTAGGGAAAAAAGCTACATTTATTTAGATTATGAAAGCTTCCTTGCCTAATGATTATATTATATTAGGACACACCTTTAAGAGCTGCAGGAAGTTAGATAACCACTTGATACCTCTTAAAGGGGCAAACATAAAATCTCATACCTAATTCTTTTTGCTTTGGGGGAGGGGTTTTTGTTTGGAAGTACTATACTATAATTCCTTGTGTAATGTTTTATAAATTTGATAGTTCAGCAATAATACTGACACAATATTTTGGCATTTGAACAATGACATGCAAATGGAGATTACAAGGCAATCAGAGGCAAAGCTATATAGTTTACCTTTGTTCTGTTTACAGTTTAATAAAAGGAAACTAAGGTAGAAGATTGAATCAGATCTGAAATTAAGCGTAATTGAAACAATGTGAAAATAACATTCAGGAAAAAAAATCCACACCAAATAGAAACTTCAGATACGTCAAAAATAGTTTCAAAATAGGAATGGAAAGATGAAACTTTTAAAATTCCAGATATATAAGAAAGTATTCATAAATAGTATGAAATCTTGATCAAGAACTGCAGGAGACTACTCATAATTATCCCTATTACAACATACCTGTTTCCCAGGAAATAACATATCATATATATATTCTCTGATGGCCATTTATATATCACTTTTAAAAGAAAGCACATTAGAAATAAACAGAAAACCAACAAGAGAAAATAAAATATTTAAGAACAATAAAAATATCAATAAAATGGTAATAACTGTCAATACTAGATGGATTATTTGATTGCTCTCTTATATCCGAAAAAGGTTTCCTGGTAACTAGGTGGCTCAGTAGCTAAAACACTGAGCTTTTCAATCAGAAAGGTCAGCGGTTTGAATCCCTACCTGCCTGAGCAGGGGGTTGGACTAGATGACCTCCAAGGTCCTTCCAACTCTATTACTGTTACTTAAAGGAAAAAAACATCCTTCAGCACAGAAATTAAGTTACAATTTTTCATATATGTAATTTTGTATAGGAAGGAAATAAGGTTTAGGTTTTGTTTGGAGTCTATGATTACAAACTAATAGAGCTGAAAACAAACTGGCAAATGTAGATTTTCAGATCTCACTACTATTAGCTCATTGATCAGAGGAATCAAATCCCAGCTTTATTAGCAGTTCGTTTTCAGATTTAAAATAGGTTAATAAAGTACAGTTAAGTATGTGTTACTACTGCAATCTTCATTGTCAAATTTGCACAGTATTTCATGCAAAGCAGGTGTTCTATTCCAATATCCTGTAACACGATATCTTAAATATTTATTATAGATAGGTGAGGTCTGGCTTGATTTCTTATTACTAAGCACCAGTCCATGATCTCCATTTTGAGTTTTGTGTATTTTTTTCAAAAAGAGAATGAAAAGAAGGGAAAACCTTTATTACATGTTAAATTTTCATGTCCATGTGAGGTTGACCCTCAGTATTATGTTAATGTTAGTGTTCTGGAGTAAATTAAAAGCTGTTATCTTATGCTGAACAAGTATGTCCAAACAGAAACCACACGTGTTATTTGCTGAGTGGTAAAGCCACATTGCAAAGTTTATGGTAGCACTATTTGATCATGCCATTTCCAGCTCTGAAATGTTTCATGATTCATAATGTGCAAGCATAGTTTAAACGTGAGGGCATACTCCTTCGTTTATTTTCAAGAATTCATTCATGGGGTGAAAGGGAGGAGAAACTGCTAAAAACACCCTATTTTATGTTGTTCAACTATTCTTAGCAATTTGTGGCTAGCTGATGGCGTGAGAAGCTAGTATTCAAATAAGGTATCAGAGATATTTGAAACCACAATATAGCAACTTTAAATTTATTTCCTTGTACCACACCAAAGGAACAGCAACAATCTTTCATGTGCTTAGTTTTATGCTGGTTATATTCATATATACTGCCAGGCCAAAATGTGTTGGGCTTAGCAGTATGTGTGAACAGAGTCACTGTGGGTCATACCATAAAGGCTGCTATCATTTACAGCAAGAGTAGGTAACCTATAGAGCAGTGATGGTGAACCTTTTCGCCACCGAGTGCCCAAACCGGAATGTATGTGTGCACACGCCGGAGTGCTGGAAACTCAAAAACCAGCCAGCCGGTGCCATTGCATCTTTGACTTTCCGGCACATGCATGCACGCCAGCCAGCTGGTCTTCACGCACGCCGGAGTGCTGGCCAGCTGCTTTTTGGGTTTCCGGCACACACAAAGACCAGCTGGTCGGCCTGCATGCGCATGCCAAAAACCAGAAGAGCAGCTGGTGATGGCGCGTGTGCCCACAGAGAGGGCTCTGCATGCCACCTCTGGCATGTGTGCCATAGGTTCACCATCACGGCTATAGAGTGACCCTAATCCACTCTACTGCAGCTGTCTTGGATAGCTTCACTGAACCTTGTGTTTTTATTTAATGTGCTGGGTAGAAGGCTCTTCCAAGTCCAGGATAACTGCTACATATGCATTTTCTACTTTTCTTTATCACTTTTGATACCACCTGAAACTTCTATTCTACACAAAAAATTACTAACTTTTAACTTTTAAGACCAACAACATTTTTCTTTACTCGGATATAAGTCACATGGATTTCAATGGAAACTACTTCCAATCCAGATAAAATTGGAAGTAGATTTAGGAAGTAGATTGGGAGATTTAGGATTGCAGCTTCAGATTATCTAAACCTGTGATGTAAGATTAGAATGAGGTCTTTCCTGAGCCATATCTCACGAACTACCAAGTATCTGCTTTCGTGCACTTGGAACCCATGTTGCATTCTTGTTTATGTACCATTCAGAGCATCCAAGTCAAATGAATAAATAAGAAGCAAAGGCCGTATCCAATAATTATGCAGCTTTAAATTCAGTTCTACCAAGTAATGGCTCGCTTGTAAGGGCTTTTTATGATTTGCATTCATTTGTTTCTGCCATAGCTCCATGATATTGCCTTCATCTCATTGTCAATCCATGACTGAGATATCACTCCCCCCCTCCCCCACCCCCAGTCCCTCCAAGAGCCGCTGTGAGTTATGTTATAGTGACTTAGCAGACGCAGGACTGGGGCTAGCAACAGACTGCAAATTCCATGCTGGAATACTGTAATTTTTTGGAGCATGGACATAAGGAAGAACAAGGCTCCCAAGCAGGGAGAGTAAGACCCATACAATCTCCTCTGACTGCTGTTGATGGTTAGTATGGTAACCAGACCTCACTGGAAAAGGAGGTTTTTCAGTGGGACATCATCTCTGTAGGCCTCTACCAGGGGAGGGTCATTTGCACCTACCTTTAAAAATGTTGCCTCGTGAGGGAATTGTATATTTAATTTTTAATTTCTGACCTATTTTATTATTGCATGAATATTTTTAGTCTAGTCTTTCTTATGCCAAGATGGTTTTTTATTATTAATTTGAGTCTTCCCTGAAAGCCTACTTAAAAATAAACACAATTTGAAAACATTCTCATTGGTTGCTCCTATTCCGAATATCAGAAAGTAGTAAGAATAAATTGCTTTCAGGCACTTCCTCCCCTTCCCAGTCTCTTTGATCCATGGCCGCCAGCCACCGGAGTAACATGCTAAGCTGAAACGCAGTCTGCATACTCCTGGCTTGGTATGCCAGCTAAATCACCAAACTGTGATTGGTGAACTTTGTGCGCCTTAGCGTAACCTCTGAACTCAGCAAATGTATTCAATAAACCACGATGAAACAAACCGTGGCTTGCCAAAGAATGGGAAAAAACCCTGGCGGTTAATTATTTTATACATAAGAAGAATCATTCAAGATCGTGCAAGGGAGATTCTTAAGAGAATTTTCCCATGACTTCCATCATACACTTCCACATATACACAGACAGAGGCTTGTTTCTGGCGTTTCGGCATGATTTTCCAAAGTATCTGGGATCTCGGAAGGTGGTAGCAGAGGCCACGCCAAAGCGGCGCGAAGTTTGCAGTTTGTTTTCTCTCCGAGGCGGTGTCGAATTACAGAGAAAGAAAACCAGCTTGGGCAGGGGCGGGGGGCCGGGTGGCTGGGATCAGTTTCTCCAGCTGATCTGCAGCCGCCTATTAATTTTTTTCCCCCCAGCAAGAAGAATGGAGAATCCCCCAGGCTGCCGAGAGAAAAAGGAAGGGGACTCCTAAAAAAAAAAAAAGAGGCTGCAATCTGCACCTCCGGCCGCTCGGGCCCTGGTTGCAGGCTGACTGGCTGGCTGAGGACATGCGGCTGCAAGGCCCGCCACGCGAAGCTGAGGAGACGTGGATGCCGCGCTATAAATATGCCACGCAGGCAAAGCGCAACAGGCGACTTCTCCTAGCTCGAGATGCGGGCGAACTCCAGGGCGAGGGGGCTCCGCGTGGCGCTCCTCTTGCCGCCTCTGTAGGTTAAGGAGGCCCGGGGGGCGGCCGGAAGAAAAGCTTTTTCAGAAGCGAGGCAAACTTTCTCCGCAATGAATAAATTCCGGAAGGTTTGCCGAGGCAGCGGGAGAGCTCTGGCTTTGATCTTCGCAGCTTCGGTGGTTTGGCTGATCTTTGACATGGCAGCCCTCAAGTTGTCCTTCGGCGAGAGCGGCACCAAAGTGCTGCAAGGGGAGACGGCGGGGGGGAAAGAAAAGGGGCCAGGGCGAGTTTGGCGCAACTCCGAGGATGACCCGGGGAGGTGGTCCCGAGAGGAGCCCGAAACTTCCCCGCCGTTCCCGGGACAAGATGGGAAGAAGCCTTCTAGGAACGGCGAAGATGCTGGCCGGGACGCGGAAAGGAGAGGGCAGCGCTTATCCCCCGGCGCGACCCCGGCCGAAGCAGCACCCGGGAAAATACCCGGTCTGCGTGACATATTCCCGCTGAAACGGCAGCGACCGCCCGCTCAACCCTTGTCCCGTGCCCCGGAGAAGAAAGTCAACGAGGCCGCCGCCGGCGACCCCGGGCACACAAAGCCGGCTCTGGCCCGGCGTGAGCAGGAGCCACACTCAGTAGTGGCTGGAGGGCGAGCGCCTCTTCCAAACGGAGTCCCTCAGAAGGTGCCAGTTCAGAAGAGCGCGGGAGGAACGGAGGTGTTAGTGCACGCGGAGTTCACCGATAAAGGGGTTTTGGTTGGGTTAAAACGTGGTGTCCCCCCTGGAAGCATGCCTGAGGAATGGCTGGCCAATCCTGGTCTTCTCAAAGCCAACAGGACTGGGGGGCTAGTCAGAACGATGGAGGTTCCTGAGGTCAAAGGAAGGTGGGGTTTACCTGCGGGCAAGCTGAATACCTCGACATCAGAGAAGAAGGAAGTCTCCCTGAAGAAAATAGCTCCGGGAAACCTGCCAAGCAGGAAGAGTGCAAAAATACCTCCGGCAAAGGATGCTCTATCAGAAAACCAACAGGTCTTTGTAACCAAGGAGCTGGTCCCTATGGTTTTTCCAACAATTCAGCATCTCCAAGCCAGCACCAAATTGATGGGGAAGTATGTACAACTGCCAGGTGAGAAAAGCAGCAATAAGGGGAAAGCCACCAATGCAACCCAAATAGATGGCCTTATTAAAGCCACGGAAGGGATCGTTGCCAGAGGAAGAGCATTGGGGAAGGTTGACAAAGGCCATTTAGCAGGTGAAGAGCAATTCCCCAAACCTAATCAGAGTAATGTGGATTTTGCAGAAAACACGAGGCTGCACAAAGTGTTAACTATCGATAGGACCCTGACCCCAAGAGACCCCGGAGCACCTGGTCAATTTGGACGCCCTGCTGAAGTCCCAGGTGAGAAGGAGGAGGAAGCCAAAAGGAGATGGAATGAAGGGAATTTCAATGTCTACCTCAGTGACTTAATCCCACTTGATCGTGCCATTGATGACACAAGGCCTGCTGGGTAAGCTGTAAATACTTGTGCTGCACAGCACACATTTGGGCTAGTGCAATTGCTGAATTATTAAATGCTTGTCTAGAACAGGAATTCTTGGGGGCCTAAGGATAGATTTCATGGGGTCCGTAAATTTGGATGTGTTATATGAATAATATTATTATACCATACAGTTATTTTTTCATATAATATTTGATAACTGCATTGAGCATAATTGACTTGCTTTGTCCTGAGTTCTAGTCCCTCCTGTCGGCTGGATGACTTTGGGCCACTCATTGTCTCTCAACCCAACTTGCCTCACAGGATAGTTATTGTGGGGAAAAGAGGAGGAGTATTAGGTATGTTCACAGCCTTGAATTATTTATAAAAATAAAAAAAATCATAAAATAAAAGGGTAAAGATCCCTGGTTCAGATGTAGTCCTTCAGAAAGAGAGACTATTTTAAATATACAATATTTACAAAAGTCAAAGGTACCTGGACAACTAAATATATATTACATAAATTTGTATCAGCAAATTGGTAATAAGCATAATTAGCAATATGTGGAGTGGAATTAACCTTTAAAGTTTTCCTCAAAGCCAACAAAGACTATATATGCTTTTCGGGGGAAATATCTAAACAATCTGAGGCCACCATATAGAAAAGGCCTCCCACAATACTTTAAAAAAAAATTACAGAATATCAGATGTTAACCTTGAAGCTCAAATAGCAAGATCTCAAATAGTTTAAGGATTTAGAGTCTACTATGAGTACTTTAAATTTAGTATTTTTCATACAAGTACATTGGGCAAATGGAACTACTGAACAATGCAAACCTTTTAAAGTTTGTTCAGAAATTAATTAGATAAAGCATATTTGCTTTATCTAATTTTCTTGTGAGTGTACATAATTTTGTGAGATAAGCGCATTTAAAATGGTGTGTCACAGTTGAAACATAGCTATGGTCCTCCCTCACAGGGAGGGCCTACTCAGGGTGCCGTCGTCTAGACAATGTCGGCTGGTGGCCCCCAGAGGTAGAGCTTTCTCTGTGGGCGCGCCCACCCTTTGGAATCAACTCCCCCTGGGGCTCTGGTTGGCCCCTGACCTTCGCACTTTCCACCGCGAACTAAAGACATGGTTGTTTAAATCACCCAGCCTGGACTGATGGGGTTTGATTTTTAATGAGTTTTAACATATGTTTAATTTGTATTTTAATATGTTTTTATCTGGTTTGATTTTAATTGTTGTGAGCTGCCCTGAGTCCTATGGAGATAGGGCGGCATACAAATCAAATTAATAAATAAACAAACATGGATTTTTATATCTGGAATCTTGTTAGTGGAACTGTACGACTAGAATATTCATGCTGATACTAAGATGGAAACTGGCCCATCAGATTAGATATCATTACTACCAAAAAAGTTAACACTGAGTGATGTGCTGAATTGTGTAAACACGCACACACACACACAAACTGTTTGTGTAGCCTTGAATATGGAACACAAGGATTTCCTTTCTGCTTATTTCAAAGAACAAAGTCGGCCCTTAGAGGAGCAATTTTCCTGCAAGAACTTTGCTTTGGCAGCTACCACCTCAAAAAGAAAACAGAAGTTTGAAACCAGTCTCAGGAGTATCCATCACTGCCCCTGGTGCTAAACCAGTAAAGGGCCACAGACATCCAGTTACAGGAAACCCATAGTTTTCGGTAAACTGCCCAGAGTCACTTTGAGTGAGATAGGCAGTATTTAAATTTTATAAATGAATTCGTTTTTGAGGGGTCCTTGGTGCTCTCTGAGCTTGCTTGTTTTCTTCCAGACGTCTCATTACCCTAACTCGGTAACATCATCAGTGCTAGTAGAGTGCTGTTTGCTGTCAGTTTATATTCTGGTGTCTAGTCTGTGTGGGTGGGATTGGTTTTAGGGATTCTTTGGTTGGGCTGTTTACTGATGGCTCTTTGGCAATTTCTTAATTGGGGTATTGCTTACTTGATTGTTGGTCTGACGTTAACCTTAATTAGTTTTCTCCAACTACTGTTCCCAGGCATGAATGCATTACATAGTCCTCCAGTCCTTATCCTGCTTCTGTATTTAGCAGCCTTTCCTTTGTTTAAATGTCTTTTTTTTTTTCAGTTATAATTCTATTATTACTTTCTGTAAAAAAAATGTTCTATTAAGTTTTTTTATTCTGTTGTAGGGAAAACAGTTGCATAGTACTAAGCTGAAAGCTGTAAATTTACAAATCTTGGTGACTTAGTTCAGACAATATAAGCCACTACCCCCTCAAACCAGCACAACCGTAATATAGCTTCCTGTGATATGTGAACTCAGCCACAGAATCAAATCAGTGGCGAACTGTCATTATTTCATTTTAACACAGGCTTTCAGAGCCCTGCAAAACAGTATTACCCATGCATGATAATCGGCTTATAGAGAAAAGTGCACTGATTTGGGAATTGCATATATTTAAAGCAGCATTTATGTGTCTTAAACAGTTGGTTTCTGGTACCTAAGACAGAAAATACCTGGTGCTGTTTTAACCTATAAAGCACACATGGCTTAGTAGCTGTTGAGTTGCAGAATCAATCTCTTAAGAAGGCTGCTCACCCTACTTGAGTTTAAGGGGCTCTTGCAGACAGCATCTTCATTAAGGAACACTTGGGGCTCTGAGGTGGTGGTGGGAGAGCCCTCATCTTACTTGTGTTTGTAAAGCTATGGAAACCAACCTTTTCCACCAAGATTTTTTAAAAACCATAAAATGTTTGAGCAGTACAGAAATATTGTGATAAATAAATTTGACCCCTCCATTAAAGTCATGCAAAACAGTTGAGTTTTCAGAGGCCTTTGAGGAAGATAAGTAGCCTTTCCTTCTTAAATTAAATTCTTCTACCTAAAAGCTGTTTCCCATTTCCCCTTTTGTCTGCTAGTCTAACTGAACTTGAAAGTACCGGTAAGTAGGCCAACAAATGCCGTCTTTAACATCTTGAAGCACAGTGACATTAATAAAGGCACCAGAGAGCCTTTAAATAATCTGTCTTGGATGTTGTCGTAGATACGTGTTGGTATATCGCATGCAAAAACTGTAGTTTGGCATTCACTTTATAAATCAGATTATGCGTACAATGCACTGTTGTCGTATTGTGACTGGCACTTGATATCCTTGGGTTTGGGCAGAGATAGTGGTGCATTATGGCAATATTTGGGCAGCCTTCAGGGACACCTTAACAGATTGAAGGCTCTCAAATGCAACAGGATTACCTGAATAGATGACGAAGCCCAGAATGGCAAAGGGCAGAGAATAATGTTTCCCATCTACTGCTATTTGATCTGTTTTAATCAGAGATGCCAATCATTGAAACAAGAGCCTTTTCATGTAAAACAGGCGTGCTCCCATTGAGCTACAATCCACTATTTTTCCAACAAAACAACCCAGAACAAAAAAAAAAAAAGTTTTCCATTTAGGTTGGGAGGATAGGATCAACCACCCTATCAAACATTGGTGAAAAATGATCAGAGGAACAGATTCTCTGTGGGAGGAGTTCTTTTGGTAAGTTGCCCTGGCCTTCTCAAGATCTTCTGGAAGATATATTAGCCTAAGGGGTAAAGATTCCCTTAAGGCATCCATCAAACGCTTAGCTGAATTGCAAATAGAAATTGAGAAAAATGCTTTCCCTTCAGCCTTTTGTTCATGCAGAGAAGACCTGACCAAAACCTTTGACTCTTCTTCTATTTTTTTTTTTCTAAACCAGCATGATGTAAAATGACAAATTCAATGAAATGAGAAAAATCTTTATCACCAGCTAGAGATCTACAGATTTTCTGCCGTACTTCTTTGATAGGCTTTAGTGGGTCACATTGAAACGTTGCTTGCTTTGAGGCTGTCAGTGTTCGCTGATTGTGTTGCGGGGGTCGGGGAAAAGCTTTTATTTGGACAACATGACCGGAAAAAACAGTCTTGCAAGTATCTTTTTTCCCCTTTTTTCTAAAGGGCGCCAGTTCTCCAAACAAATCAATTTATTCTACTAAGTATATGCAAACAAAATACTTGAACATCCTGAACGTTAGTAATACCGGTACTCCTGGAAATTAAAGTCTTGTCTGGATATAAGTGAATTTTGTTTTCTTTGACATTGCTGCTTTTACTTTGTTTGGCTATTTGAAGAGGGAAATAATGCATGGAATTGCCAAAACAAAACAAAACTATATACATACTGGAGCACTTTAAATGCACCCATTTTCTAATGTTGAAAGCATTCTTGGGAACAATGGTCTGACTCAGTATAAGGCAACTTGCTATGTTCCTTCACCTTTTTGCATGTATATATACATTTCAGGCAAGTCCACTCCCACCTCACTTGATCCGTGTTTTTTCTTTAGAGACTGAGCACTTAAAAAAGACTGGCTCTAGGTTTACAGGGATATTAAATGTGTTTCTAGGGACTGCAGGATCCATACACTTTATTTGTGATTTTTGAAGTGGATTTGTTTTCCAGACATCCACTTTCCATTCACCTTATAGGGAAGATGGACAGCATTAAATTAAAAAAAAACAAAAACAATAAATTAAATAACATTCTCAACTGCACGTCTTTTCTATTTCTGTAGCCGTCACTTCTACGAGGCTCTCTTTCTGGAATATCTTTAGCCCTTGACTTGATAGCTACTACAGGTAGTCCTCGACTTACAATAGCGACTGTTCAAAGTTACAACAGCACCGAAAAAAGTGACTTATGACCAGTGGTGGGTTTCAAACAATTTTACTACCGGTTCTGTGGGTGTGGCTTGGTAGGCATGGCTTGGTGGGCTTGGCAGGGGAAGGATACAGTAAAATCTCCATTCCCACCCCAATCCAGGGGAAGGATACTGTAAAATCTCTATTTCCTCCCGATCAGCTGGGACTTGGGAGGCAGAGAATAGATGGGGGGCGGGGCCAGTCGGAATTTTTACTACCGGTTCTCCGAACTACTCAAAATTTCCGCTACCAGTTCTCCAGAACTGGTCAGAAGCTGCTGAAACCCACCTCTGCTTTTTTT